GTGTGGCCCCGGGGGGGAGCCGATCTGCTGGGAAGAGGGGGAGAATGCCAAGCCTGGGGGAGGTGAAGATGATGGAGAAGGGACTGTGTGGCCCAGACATTGTGATGGCTTTTCCTCCCCACCCTGGAAGGGAGGTGATTTTCCCCCCACACACGCACACACACATTGCCCCAGAAGGCAGGCAAGCATCACCGGTGTCCCTGCTGGCCCGCTCCATGCAGGAACCAGAGAGGGCAGACGGTGCCTGTTCCCCTGGAGGCTGTACAGGGAGGGGTGGATAGCAGGCTCCCTGCCGCCCTGGCCCAGCCCAAGAAGCTGGCTCTGGGGAGTTGGGAGGGTCTTGGCATCAGGGCTTTGCACTCATGAGGGCTCTGTTCCCCCTCGCTGCCTGCAGCCCCTGGGCTTCTGATGCTGTCCTGTGGCTGCCTCCTCCCCTTCAGAGTCCTGGACACTCAGATTCCTGGGGTCTGTTCCCAGCTCTGCCAGTGACTTCTGGGTGAGTCATGCCCCCCTGTGCCTCGGTTTCCCCCTCTATAAAAGGGGGGATAATACACAGGGCGGTGGGCCTTAACTACCTGCTGGCTAAAGCGCTTTGGGATCTCCTGAGGAGAGATGCTAGCGAAATGCAAACTGATGATTCCTTGGGGCCCCCCCGGCCCGTTGCATTTTCTTAATTTATCCTGCACCCTTTTAACGTCCCCTCTCTCTTTTACGCGGCTTTGGTCTCTGGAGGCGGGCGTGGTGCCGGGGGGGGGGTGCCCGGGTCTGGTAATGCGCTTGTGCACGTTCCGTTGCACACTGAGGCAAACTTATCTCAGCCCAGGCAGGAAGGAAGGGTGTGGTGGGGACGGGCCGGCTGTGCTTCGGGCAGCTTGCAGTCTGGATGCCCTGGCCTGGCCATGGACACCTGCAGAACGTAGAGAATCACAGAATCATAGAATATCAGGGTTGGAAGGGACCTCGGGAGGTCATCTAGTCCAACCCCCTGCTCAAAGCAGGACCAATCCTCAGCTAAATCATCCCAGCCAGGGCTTTGTCAAGCCAGACCTTAAACACCTCTAAGGAAGGAGATTCCACCACCTCCCTAGGTAACCCATTCCAGTGCGTCACCACCCTCCTAGTGAAATAGTGTTTCCTAATATCCAACCTGGACCTCCCCCACTGCAACTTGAGACCATTGCTCCTTGTTCTGTCATCTGGTACCACCGAGAACAGTCTAGAGCCATCCTCTTTGGAACCCCCTTTCAGGTAGTTGAAAGCAGCTATCAAATCCCCCCTCGTTCTTCTCTTCTGCAGACTAAACAATCCCAGTTCCCTCAGCCTCTCCTCATAAGTCATGTGTTCCAGCCCCCTAATTATTTTTGTTGCCCTCCGCTGGACTCTTTCCAATTTTTCCACATCCTTCTTGTAGTGTAGGGCCCAAAACTGGACACAGTACTCCAGATGAGGCCTCACCAATGCCGAATAGAGGGGAATGATCACGTCCCTCGATCTGCTGGCAATGCCCCTAT